GAATACCGTCGTCTCTGACCTGACCAAGCTAACCAACGCTCTTGTATCTTCCACCCCCACCTCACCCGAGGTTCTCTACCTGACTGTTTCGTCCCTACTTCGTCTTCTCTCGCCAATTGCTCCGGCTCTTGCCTCCGAGTGCTGGGAGATCTTAAACGGCTCGGTGGTGACGAGGAACTCCGCCGGCGTCGCTTCGGAAACGACAACTATCCCAAGTATATTCGACTGCAACTGGCCCACACCCCTTCTGGCCCCCGCCGAGGCCGACATACTGTCCGCACGAGGAGGGCAGACCGTTGCGGTTCAAATTAACGGAAAATTGCGATTCAGTGTGACAATCCCGCAACGACTTTCACCCACGACAGCCGAAGCCAACGCGAACACCACCGATGAACAAGACTGGATTATCAGTCGCATTCTAGAGACCGATGAAGGACGAACATGGCTGCGGGAGAAGAACGACTGGGAGAAGCGCCGACGAGTAATTGTTGTTAAAGGTGGCAAGGTGGTCAATGTTGTGTTCTAGAGGCGGCATCATATCGCCGGAAGCTTCGAATCATGTTTGATGTTTCACGCGAAGCATGCGCTGCCTGTTGGGTCGGAAAAAAAAATGTACTAATAGATAGAAGATATCCTAAATAGGATGAATAGAATATCCCAACTCCAACTTCAATTACTGAAACAGAAATTGTGGTTCGTGCAGATTGTTGTATGGGAATCAGTAAAAATGTCACACCCAACTTTGCTCGCGACACCCATGATAAAGGACGCTTTCGCCCGATACTGTGTTATTGGCGCCCGGGCGTCGCAAGCGCTCCGTGAGTCCGGAAGAAGAGTTTCAATAGTTGGGGTCAACGAACAGGCCGGTGTATCGTGTGATGCGGCAAGACCGGCAGGGCAATAGGTGTGGGCAACCTGAATGAGGAGGCAGACACGCCGACACGCTGGTGGTGGGGAACAGACGGATGGCTTCCCCTCATGCTGCCGCCGCCGCCGCGAACGCGGCGCGGTCGGAGTCGGGCGTGACGTCGGTCTTCAAATTATGGAGACTCCGATGTAGGTCTCGTCCAAGGCATCATCGTCACTTGAATGATGGTACTTTCTCCCAGAAGACTAAAGCCGGAGATAATGCGGTCGAATCTCGGTTTCAGGAAGTGGAGGATTCGGATTCGCATTTGAGTGGAAAATCGCTTCGGTCGGGGGGAGAGGGGTGGAGGTAGAAGACGCTCAAGCTTGGGTCGTCAGTAATTCGTTAGTTGACTTATCGGTTATCGGATTGCGACCGCGAATGCGCTGCCCACCCCACGGCGAAAGTTGGCGTACGAGGAGAGTCAAGCTCGAGTAGACACATACATATCTGGCTGTTCTGTGTGTGGTAATGAGCTACACAGGACGAAATGAAGCGACTCTTCGTCGGTAACATCTTCACATGGGCTCCTGGCCTGCTATGAGAGACAGCATTTGGGAGGCCATGCGGGGATACATGCGGGTGAGGAGTCAAATTACCCCTCACTGCCTCCCCTCATGAGGGGAACGGATGGAGCTATCCAAACCGGGTGGAATGCGGGACAATCATGGGTGAATGGATGGTAAGATTCCTGGCAGTCCATTCTTCTACGCGGTCCCCAGCTGACAGCCAGACAAAACAGTAATTCTGTCCGTTGATTGTCTCAATCGAGCCATGAGATCCATTCATAGTCGTAGTCCCGACCCAGCACTGCAGTAGCGCCGCGGCAATGCTATGCGGGGCCAATCCTGGGCCGATCGCCCTGCCAGGTACTGAGACGTGGCTCCGAGTTACTAAGGATTTGGCTGGCAAAGGCTCGGCCCTTGCTCGGATTCCCCCTCATCGGCTCACCACGGCTACTGTAGCCTACTGTAACTTGAATTTTACATTGCATTGCATTCTAGATCCCCGCATGAGCTTTGGACTTCTGAAACATAGTGACATCGTATGTGTGCTGTACTGTGTGTAGATATTCCCTTTTTGAAAGGAGTGAGCTACAGACGCACACAGGCAGATCGCTCGCTGTATTCCAGGATAGTCTTAACTAGGTACTCTGACTACACATACTTTGCTTTATTCTAGTACTACCTAGTAGAAACTTATTGACTATCGACCTATCGAGCCATCGACCGCAAAGACGGGAGGGAGTCCCGCGTGCGGAGAAAGCTTGGTGAATCCCCAACTGGGAAGATCTGCCATCTGCCATGGTTTCAAGGCTGGCTGATGGTAATGATCCACCCCTCTTTCCGAGTCTAGTACTGTACTGTACCCACACCCACCTCATACTGCCTGCGGCACCCCCTCTCCTCTCCTCCCTCTCCTCTCCTCCGCTCCCTCTTGCCGGAAGACGGAGGAACGGGTAGTTTACTTACTATACTCGACCTAAAATAGTAATGATGGAATAGTAAGGTACCCATCATGTACAATCAGTACAACCAGTACAATAGTACAGTACAACCACGAGAGAGGGGAAAAGGCAACTCTCTGAGAATGTACCGAAATCAACCTATATATTCGGCCAAATTCCCCGCCCTGTAAGTTCTGACTTCCATTCACTATCAGTGTCTCTCTCCTATCGTCTCATCCTATCATCATTCTTGGGTCATCTTCCCATTCCCTTCCTTGCTACCAAGGTCCACGCTTAATCAAGTTCCAGCCCGCTTTCGGTAAGTCTATTTCCCCTCAGCGTCGCTGTTGAGACAATTCTTGCCTGCAGTGCAGTCTGCAGCTGTTTTGGAGACCCCCCCCCCCCCCCCAGCCAGCCAGCCCAGTATTGCAGGCAGTCTGGTCTCCACTTCTGCCTGTCATCTTTCCCCGCTCCTCCTTGCTGCATTGCATCAAGCTCGCAAAAGTTTCCGATCACTGGCAGGAACATGGGTAATGGCTGCGGGCCAGAATCTTACCTTGCCTTCTCCAACTTCTTTCATCACTACCGGGTGGGTATATATAATGGCAAGCTGACCCTCCGCTTTACAGGTCTACAAGATCCTTCCGTTCTTCTCTCTCAATAAATCAATCAATCAATCATCAGTCAATTTGACTCTACTCCTTCAAAATGGTATTTATGCGCTCTTTCTCCCGTCAACTTCGACGGCCTGCGACATCTCTTCTTTCAGGCAGAGGCCCTCTCGCATCGGCTGGCAGCAGTCCCTTGCGGACCTCGCCTCTGGCCAACTCCATTGCTGGTGCACGTACGCTAACCGCCTCGGCCAATCTACAGGGCAAGATTCTTATGGTACTCTATGACGTAAGTCCGTCTGCGGCTTCGGCCTCATCATCAATGACGACAAACCATTGACTAACAAACAATGAATAGGGCGGTGAGCACGCCAAGCAGCAGCCCGGTCTTCTGGGTACCACCGAGAACGAGCTTGGTTTGAGAAAGTGGCTGGAGGACCAGGGCCACACTTTGGTTACCACCTCTGACAAGGAGGGTGAGAACTCCACTTTCGACAAGGAGCTCGTTGATGCCGAAGTCATCATCACCACCCCGTATGTGGCTTCCCTTAGCATTTCCCATCATGCCCCCCCGGCAACCTTTTCAGCCACTAACTCAGTCGGTTTAGCTTCCACCCCGGTTACCTTACTGCGGAGCGTTTGGCCAAGGCCAAGAACCTTAAGATCGCCGTCACTGCCGGTGTCGGTTCCGACCATGTCGACCTCAACGCCGCCAACAAGACCAATGGCGGTATCACTGTTGCCGAAGTCACTGGCTGCAATGTTGTCTCCGTTGCGGAGCACGTTGTCATGACTATCCTGACCCTGGTCCGCAACTTCGTTCCCGCCCACGAGCAGATCCGTAACGGCGAGTGGGACGTTGCTGCTGTCGCCAAGAACGAGTACGATTTGGAGAACAAGGTTGTCGGCACTGTCGCTGTAGGCCGCATCGGTGAGCGTGTCCTGCGCCGTCTCAAGCCTTTCGACTGCAAGGAGCTGCTCTACTACGACTACCAGCCTCTCTCCCCTGAGGTCGAGAAGGAGATCGGCTGCCGCCGTGTTGACGACCTCGAGGAGATGCTCGCTCAGTGTGATGTCGTTACCATCAACTGCCCTCTACACGAGAAGACTCGTGGTCTGTTCAACAAGGACCTCATCTCCAAGATGAAGAAGGGTAAGATAACTGTTTCTGAATCGACATCGAATCTCCGACACTAATCCAAATCTCCAGGCTCGTGGCTCATCAACACCGCTCGCGGTGCCATCGTTGTCAAGGAGGACGTCGCCGAGGCCGTCAAGTCTGGTCACTTGAGAGGCTACGGAGGTGATGTCTGGTTCCCTCAGCCCGCCCCCAAGGATCACCCTCTGCGCTACGTCCAGGGCCCCTGGGGCGGCGGCAACGCCATGGTTCCCCACATGTCCGGTACCTCCATCGACGCCCAGATCCGTTACGCCAACGGCACCAAGGCTATCCTCGAGAGCTACTTCTCCGGTCGCCACGACTACAGAAACGAGGATCTCATCGTCCACAACGGTGACTATGTCACTCGCGCCTACGGTCAGCGCAACAAGGCTTAAACCCAAACCCTGGAGGACATTAATATGAAATGTATGACTCGAAGAATAGTTCGACAGATGTTCCTGGTTTGAACGTCTCCTTGACGATTTAGCTATTTATGATACCTTCCAAATACAAATATCTTCAGTTCAGATTCTTGGTGCATGGCATTGGGCTGTTTCCGCAGCTGCCCCACACATCCGTAAGCTTGGAATGTTGAGCACTGACGTAGAGTTTCCTGGCAGTGCCTTGGGCCCTTGACAATAGTCTCTGTCTGAATTTCTTTCGCAATAAGGTTACTTCCCGTGCCGCCGCAATGGACTCCGGAGTTGCAGTATTCATGCAACCTCTAGGCCCCTGGATATTGTGTTCCTGTGCGAATCAATGGCCACTTCAGGCTGATAGACTCGAATCTAAACTTAGCTTAGCTACACAACATAATTTCTACAGGTGGCTTCCTCTTCGAACACTAATTTCCATCATCACCATCTTCTTCTTCTTCTTCTTCTCCTCGTTACGCACAGAATCGCACTGTGGTACGGTGTGAGGACACCCTCGGTGAGATGTGTGATTTTGTGACAGCATTCAATATAGATCTATAGGTATTAAGACATGGGAGCGGATGATCGCAATACTAGCGCCGGGACTGTGAATGCGGCGGATGGTCCTCGTCCTCGTCCTCACTGTCATCCATGAACCCGGCTTCGAGTTCCCGGCTGAGTCGTCTTCCCGAGTCGACGACTGCGCTGCGTTGCCGTTCGAGGGCCCCTCTGCGCTCTACATCCATGTCCATGCCCACCATGATCTCGCCCTCTTCATCGTAGATACTGACATTGTCATCCTGGTCGGCCAGATGCTGCCGCTGCCACGACGAGGGCAAGAACCGGCGCATGATGGCATCGGCGATGCGGTCCCGAAGGGTCAACGTGTGGGCGGAGATCGTGTGGAGCGGCAGATACTGGGAGTATCGCTGATGATACCGCCGAAAGAAGGGGATGATCACGAAGGAGAAAAGGAGGTAAAGGGTTAGCGAGATCACCGCGGGGATGATCATCGTCTGCGCAAGGAAGCCGTCGGTTAGGGACATGACGAGTCAGATATGAGGACGGATGGAGGAAGAGTTCACCTTTGCAAAATTCGATGCGGAACCCATCTTGGTTGGCAAGTATCCGTCTGGGCCCGAAGAAACTGAGGCTGATCGTGTGTCGTCCGTCTACTATCCAGAGCAGACAGAGGAAGCGGAAGCGGATCGGAGGAGGAAGCAGGAGGAATCGGAGCAGGCAGCAATCGCAAGCGGGTGAACCAATGCACGATGCAAGGCTGTATGATTCAATCCCCAAGAGACAGAAGATTAAACTGCCATAGTAACCAGAGATCCCCACAGATACAGTGATCCGGGAAATTTGACAGCATTATTCTTTTCCAGTAACCTGCGGCCGATAACCTCCGTGCACGTGATACCTACGGCCATGGCAGTCCCACCGTATACCCATAAGCCCGTGAACGGTAGGCGGTCAAGAGTACATGCAGTGCCGTAGTAAAGATAGAATCACATCACATCACATCACGTGGTAGGACGGTTACTCTGGGGGAGATGGTGGTGTTCTAGAGCCGCTCTTCAATAATGCCGCCCCCCTGATGCCCCGTGCTTTACACTCCGTCCTGACGTGCAAAAAGACTCCAGCCACTAAACCACATCCTAAAAGGGTTTCTTTTTCCCACAGCTGGAGTAGTAGGATAGCCCTACTAGGTGGGCAATCTGAACCTTTTGACTCCAGAATCGATAGATCGCCTCTTTCCCTTCGTTTGCGATCCATACATTGGGGGAATCTCGGTGGTGTTCAGAAGGCGGAATTCCGACCCTCTCTCTCCCTCAATCTCTTTCTCCCCCTCCTCCTTCCTTCCTCCCTCCTCCCTCCCTCCCTCCTCCCTCTTTCTTTTACTCTTACGCCCGCTCCGCTGCGGGTAATAATAATCTCCTTTTAGTCAGTCCAGGAGTGCGAAGACCTACGCCAGCGCCTTGGATGTTCTTTTCTTTCCCCTCCTTCTCTCTCTCTCTCTCTCTCTCTCTCTCTTTTTTTGATCCTTCCTCTCACTCGAATCTCACTTAGCGACAACCCCGGAAATCGGACGAGTCGTTAGGACGGAAGGAAAGATTATCATTAGCGGTCGCTTCAGCCTACTCGTTCCTCAGCGGATTTCGCTCATGCTGCGCTTTGCATCTCCCAAGCGACGTTCGTCAAGATGCCAACCAGCACGTCTGCGCCTGAAAAATCGAGACAGACCTCCGCTGGGAAGTCGTTCTTTGGAAGGAAGTTACACAAAGAGAAGTCGGTAGACGAACGTTACGACTCGCATGGCTCGCACGATAGCCTGGCGCCTCCTGGGAGCGCCCCCGGCTCTCGCTCATCCCGCCATTCCAAACGGTCCTCCGTCCAGTCCGTGGATTATCCCCACGAGTTTGATCCCACGGGCGTGTCCATGACCGCAGGTGTCCTGACTTCAATCCCCTACGAGAGCTTGCCCGCCGATACCCGATCGCCTGTCTCCGTCGATCACCTGTCAAGACCTAGCTCGTCCTCACGCAAAGAACCGTCGCCTAACCATCTCGCCAAAGGAAACAGCGACTACCACCAGTACCCGGCATGGAACCCGGCCAGCGTCCCCAACAATAACACCACCACCGCCAACAACACCAACAGCGCTTCGTCGCACCCAACTGGCCCCCGGCCACCTCCGCATGGCTTGAATGTGACCATGACTGCAAGTACATCGGGGGACAAGGGCGCTCGATATCAACAGTGGGGACGCCCGGGCAGCTCTGCCGCCAATACTGGCTTTAGCCATAGCTCCTCTTCTACGCTTGATTCGTCGGCGCAGTCGCGGTTGTCCTTCGATCAGCTTAGTGTTCATTCATCGATGTCATCTAACACTCGTGGCTCAAGCTATTATGCATCAGAGAGCTCGTCGCGCACGCTGACACCTTCGCATTCCGCCGATCGCACAACCTACGCATCAAATGGCAGTTCAGGCCGCCTGTCGAATGCACAGGCAGCATGGCAATCAACCCAGCCCGCTCAACCACCCAAGATTCCGGTCAACCAGGAGCAATACCTCGCCCGGCCGAGGGACGATCGAGTGGTGGATCAACTGTTTATCGAGCTGATGCAGAAACGAGGATGGCAGAACCTCCCGGAGCAGGCCAAACGACAGATGCTCGCTTATCCGGCTTCGAAGAAGTGGACCTTAGTGCACCAGGATCGGTTGACGGAGATACAGGGGGAACAGAAGCGGCGCCAAAATGCTCGGCAGACTCACGGCCATGATGGACCCTCGGGTATCCTGGAACGCGCTGATGAGGAGGGCAGCCCCGAGTGGTATGTGAAGAAGGTTATGGACGATTCAATCACCTCGAAACAGTTGGCCAGTCTAAGTGTCAGCCTACGAACGCAGCCAATCAGTTGGGTCAAGGCGTTTGTTGAGGCGCAGGGTCAGATTGCTTTGACAAATGTGCTTGCCAAGATCAATCGAAGGAAGGCTACAGGTGTCGTCCCAGCTCCCCCGACAGGGGATAAGGATTTGGATCGTGAATATGACATTGTCAAATGTTTGAAAGCCCTGATGAACAACAAATACGGAGCAGACGATGCTCTTGCACATCAACAGGTCATTGTGGCTCTTGTTAGCTCACTGCTATCCCCTCGACTGAATACGCGAAAGCTGGTCAGCGAAGTCTTAACCTTTCTCTGTCACTGGGCCGAAGGTCATGGGCACCAGAAGGTCCTCCAGGCTATGGATCATGTTAAGAATCATCATGGGGAAACCGGCCGCTTTGACGCTTGGATGCGTATTGTGGAGGTGACCATCGATGGCCGAGGGAAAATGGGCAGCTTGGTTGGCGCAAGTGAAGAATATCGCAGCGGCGGCATAGGCATGGAGAATCATCTCATGGAATATGCTGTTTCAACCATGCTGCTCATCAATATGTTGGTGGATGCGCCCGAGAGCGATTTGCAGCTCCGCTGTCATATTAGGGCCCAGTTCATTTCTTGCGGCATTAAGCGCCTCATGACCAAGATGGAAGGCTTTCAATACGAGGTCATCGATAAGCAAATTGAACGGTTCAGGGATAACGAAGCCATTGACTACGAAGACCTGCTGCAACGGGAGAGCAGCAGTATGAAGGACAGCATCGAGGGCGAGGTCAAGGACATGAGTGATCCTTTGCAAATCACAGACGCCATCACCGCCAGGATCCAGGGCACTCGGGCTCATGATTACTTCCTATCGGCCATGCAGCACATGCTCCTGATCCGGGAGAATTCTGGCGAGGATGGCCTTCGTATGTACCAGCTGGTGGACGCTATGCTCAGCTATGTCGCTATGGACCGTAGGCTTCCCGATCTTGACCTCCGACAAGGGTTGACCTTCACCGTGCAAAGTCTGCTGGACCGCCTGCATACAGACTCCGAGGCAAGACGGGCTTACGATGAATCCTTGGAAGCTCGCCAGATCGCGGAGGCTGCGCTTGCGGAGCGCGATGAGATGAAGGCCCAGGTAGAGCTTGGCGCAGATGGCTTGGTTAAGAAGCTGCAGAAACAGATCGATGAGCAGACAGGGATTATCGAGCTGCAACGGAGACGTGAGGAAGCGATGCAGGCGGAGCTTGCGGATGTTCAGAGACTGCGGGCTCAAGAGTTACAGCGGAATGAGCTGGAAACTCGAGAACTCTACCTCATGCTCCGAGACGCTCAAGATATAGCTGCATCGAATGCCAAGAAGAGCAACATGGCCGAAGCGGATCCTTCACAGATGAGAGGCATCCTCGACCGAGAGAAGCTTCTGGAGCGATTGGAGATGCAGCTCGAGCGGACCAAGACACAATTCAAGCTGGAGGGCAAGGTATGGGGTCAACATGTCACCTCAGATAGACTGCGTGAGCTTCGAGAGCAGATGGATGGCGAAGCCGATGCCGACAATGAGTTTGGACAACGGACAGGTCAAGGCCTGGACATCAACGCCTTTGGATCGGTTCACCGGAAGAGAAGCCACCTGCCGGGCATGGACCAAGACGACAGTTCCGAGATTCAGACGCCGGTCGATGAATCCGGTGAGGTCATATACGAGAAGGCACGCCTTGTGGATCTTCATCGGCCCAAAGTCAACCCTAAGCAAGCAAACGGTCTCCTGGGAGAAATTGCCTCGAAGGTTCCTAAGATTGATGCTGAGGACGCTGAGGATGCTGAGGCAAATGGCTCCGTGGACAGCAAACTTGCTGGACCTGGAACAGAAGATCCCACTGCCAGCTCACATCAAGAAGGAGCCAGGGTCGAGGGTGCAACTGAAAAGGTCGAGAATAAAGGTGCTCCTGCTCCTGCTCCTGCTCCTCCACCCCCACCCCCACCCCCGCCCCCGCCTCCTCCCGCCCCAGGAGGGCTGGGGTTCGCTCCTCCCCCTCCTCCCCCTCCTCCGCCTCCTCCTGCGCCAGGAGGGCTGGGGTTTGCTCCCAGGAGGGCTGGGGTTCGCTCCTCCCCCTCCTCCCCCTCCTCCGCCTCCTCCTGCGCCAGGAGGGCTGGGG